TTTTTTCAAACTCTCGACTGTTTTGAGTTCTTAGAGACCACTCTCACTGGCTTCTCAGTGTCTCCACTCATTTGCACAACTTTCAATCTTGACTTTTAGTACCTAGAATTTGCTCAACCTTCATATAAATACCTCCTTTCGAACTAATGATTTCAAATCACATGCCCCTCTGCCAAATCGACAATTTTCAATATTTTTTCAAACTCTCGGCTGTTTTGAGTCCTTAGAGAGCACTTTCACTGGCTTCTCAGTGTCTCCACTCATTTGTACAACTTTCAATCTTGACTTTTAGTACCTAGAATTGGCTTAACCTTCATATAAATACCTCCTTTCGAACTAATGATTTCAAATCACATGCCCCTCTGCCAAATCGACAATTTTCAATATTTTTTCAAACTCTCGAATGTTTTGAGTTCTTAGAGAGCAGTCTCACTTGCTTCTCAGTGTCTCCACTCATTTGCATAACTTTCAATCTTGACTTTTAGTACGTGGAATTGGCTTAGCCTTCATAGCATTGAAACACATTCATAGCAGTTGTTTTTATTCGCATCTTACGACATACAATTTGTAACCAAAAAATGAATAATTTCTTGTGTTCATTTTTTAATCAAATGAAACTGATTGTAAAATTGACCTCAACTGTGGGTCAGCCAAACGGAAAGATGTAACTCAATACTAATATTTCATAATAATAAAAATAAAAATATTTTCTTTGAAATAATGACCTCAAATTTTTTCTTTCATTATTGCTGGATAAAATGCTGGACAGTTGAATATCTTCTTCTCATTTCAGTACAAAGTCTATGTGAAAGCAATTCTATTGAATTATTACGTTTCATTAAAATGACTGCCTTCTACGAATTATTTGAATGATCATATTCAATCTGTGTGATCAACCAAAAGTCTTCAATCAAAACAAACACACTTAAGTGTGCTGATTACTTACCATAAATCTTTCTATCGGACACCAAAATACAATCAATAAGTTTTTTTGGGGAACGGTCAGCAAATGTATTTAAGGAGCTTGCGTCGTTTTTCATCGGAAGAATTAACAAAGGGTGACTAGTGAATACAGTTAGTATCTTACAAAATTACTTATCAATTAATGTTGAATTACTTTAAATAGATGAGATCTGTGCACAACCACCAGTTACCGGAATTTGTCGTGGATCAAAGCCCAGATGGTACCACAATATATCTACCGGTGAATGTGAAAAATTCCTTTATGGCGGATGTGGTGGCAATGAAAACTGTTTCAAAACTAAAGAAGATTGTGAATCATTTTGTTAAAAATAAACGAATATCGCCTCTTTAAGATAGAGAATTGTTTAATTAAATTGAAAAAACATATGTATATTTTTCAAAAAATAAATTTATTTGATATTTAAACTTTAAACGTGTGAATTCAAAATATCATCTAGCATTGAAATACATTCAACAGCAGTTGTTTTTATTCGAATCTTACGACATACAATTTGTAGCCAAAAAATGAATAATTTCTTGTGTTCATTTTTTGATCAAATGAAACTGATTGTAAAATTGACCTCAACTATGGGTCAGCCAAACAAAAAGATGTAACTCAATATTAATATTACATAATTATATATGGCGTCATATATGGCGTCAATGTTGTGAACAAATAAAATCGCTTTAACTCATCGCCACAATTTCTTATTGAATTCAGTATTTAAATCTTTCAATGGGAATTTGTATTTACATTCTAAAGTAAAATGAAATCTCTGACAACGATTTGATCGTTCTATTTGCATTTGAATTTTGTTCGAATGAATTGATATAAGGTGAATTTCAAAAAAATTTGTGATTTTTTCTTATAAAAAAAGACGTGAGCTTTAAACACAGACGAAGTGTTTGCACTACTACCAAACAGATATGTGTGCGGCATATTTCATACCTATAACACTTCAACAGGCAAATGTGAAGGCAATAAAACCAAATTCAATACAAATGAGACACGTGAAAGAGCATTAAATTGATGCAAATGTAAACAATTCATTGAAAACATGAACTATTCTTATTTGAATAACTTATAATCTTGAAGCAAAAGTACTTATGACATCATTCCTACTTGAATGTACATTGTAGATAGATACTACTATCGCAAGTATATACGTACAATTCAAAATTTAAATGCTTAACAAGCTTGTTTGTCGCTTAGTTTTTGACGTTAATCAATAAGAACAACACGTATCAAGTAAAATGAAGCTGTTACTTACATTTCTAATGACGGTCCTATTTTTGGCGTTTGTTTCATCATTGACAACAGGTAAACTATTTTGGAAACCGGAAAAAGTGTGTTGGTCGTTTTCATAAAAGTGCCTTTGTTTTTTTTCTTCTCCATGCTATTAGAGGAGATCTGTGCACAACCATCTGAAACTGGACCGTGCCGAGCTGAGAAGCATCATTTCTTCTATAACTCAGTTACGGGATCATGCGAGGAATTCATATATGGTGGCTGCAATGGAAATGAAAATAATTTTAAAACGAAAGAGGAATGTGAAGCATTCTGCAAAAAAAATTGATGTCACGAAATTTTGATTACACACCCATATGCATTATCAATTCGAATTGAATGAAATGTAAATAAATAGATGGCGAATTTCGTAGAACTTTAATAAAGAAAGCATTTGCTTTTGTTTGTGTAGTAAAAATTGTAAAATAAAACTTATGGAGAAAACATAAAGTAGTTTGATTTCCGTTTAATGATGAATATTTCTCCAAATCTATGTTCAACAGCAATTTTCTCAACTGAAAGTGAATTCCTTCTATCACAGAACAAACATGGAAATATTGCATTTCTTCAGAAGAATAATTCTTATTCTATGAATTATATTTATTGTGATGAGCATTATTACGGTAATTCATGGGTCATCAATCTAAATGAAAAACCAAATTGTGAGAAAACTCAAAGAAAGCAAATCCGTTTTTTTATGAGAAAAAATCTGAATAAATATGGAGCACAGGGAATGTATGTCAGACAAAAGATGAGATTTTTTTAAATAATGCGTACTTCAATAAGCCTTCTACAATATAAACTAAACATTTACAAAGTATATTCCAAACAATTGAAGGAACTGGGATGAGTTATGATTGATAGATAATAAATGCCATAAGTCTGCAATAAATAAAAATCGAAAAATGTTTGTTCAACCGCAAATCTTTGATGCGTTCGACTTTCAAATTATGATTGTAAGCAGAATTAAATGGGATCAGCACTTTGTATCAACGGGAATCGATTTTATTTTCATTTAACGTCGTATTTAAATACAATTTATATTTAGTTTTGAAGAGAAATCAACTGGAATAACACACGAATAATTTTTTTAAAAAATGAAGTCGTTCGGCATCTTAATAGCTGTTATTTTCATCGTAATAGTTTTTTCACAATCATCTCCTTTGACTAGAAAATTTTTGAGTAAATATTAAAATATTAAAGTATCATTTTATTACGATTTGTATTATTGTTTTTTTTTTTTCATTCTTAAATTTCATTTAATTACAGAAAAGATTTGCAAATTTAATCCAAAACCTCAGAACGGAATATTTTGTGTGCAACGACTACGTTATTTCTTCACTGAAAATGACGGATGTAAAACTTTCGTTTTTTTGGATTGTGATGTCACAAGAACAATACACCACAACACCTTTTATACGAAAGATCAATGCGAAAGGGTTTGCATTCACCATCAATACGATGTAACAATAACGCCAATGGAATAAAAGCATCATTTAAATTCAGAATTTTGAATAGAAAAAATGACCATAAAATGAAACGGAAATCGATAGAAGTTTAGCTTGTCCAAGTATTGTAAAATATATTATAAAAAAGTAGAAAATGAACGAATTTAATCGATAATGTACAGAATTCAAATTTTACAATTTTAATCATATTCCAAAGGTTCGACTTTATTCAATTAATATTTATTAACTTATTTCGAATAATAAAAAAACAAGTTGATAAGAAAGTCCAACAAAAACTCGTCATTCATGCGTCTGAACTCAGTTTAGAATATCTCACAATTGACATCATTTTTTGCTTATCAGCAAGACACAATGGCGTTTAATAAACCCTATAAAAGCCGTTGGTCATTTTTCTTACATTGTTTACATCACTAAAATATGCTGTCTTCGTGCCTCTAATTATCAGATTTTTGTAACAGAAAGTTGGTGAAAATATTGCTCGTTAGTGACATAAGCTTGCAATTTCTACAATAACAGTTGATAGCAGAATATTATTTGAATATACCAAATAGTGGTTAAATTGGTTTCTATATTCATTATTGATTACATTTAATGCTTAAATAAGACATTCAAATGACATTTCCAGTTGAGATTTTAAGTCGAATCAATAGAAATAACACCATGAGCGCCATGAGGTTCTTTGGAGTAATTCTGGTCATTTTATTTACTATAATAGTATCCTCAGGCGCAACTCATTTGACTCCAGCTGAAAGTGAATATATGAAAAACGGTGATAATATACAATTGTTTAATTTCATTTTCTCGATTTTATTCAATGTTAGCAGGAAGGTTGTGTGCACTGACTCCAAAACCATCGAAAGGTACATTTTGCGTTGAAAGACAACGGTATTTTTACACAGAAAATGAGGGATGTGAGAATGTCACCTTCATGGACTGTGACATTAGAAAATCCATATATTTGTACAGTTTTACCACAAAAGAACAATGCGAAGACGTATGCATACGAAAAGCCGAAAAGAAGAAACCTAAAGGAGACTATTCGCTGTATTATCTTTTCTAATTACAATAAAATATTTATAAAATTTTACTTAAGATGTATGTAATTTTATGAGTAAATATTGTAACTCAGCAATTCGTGTAAGAAGGACAACTTCATTTTATGATGGCATATATGACGCATTGACGGCAATGAAAACAAGAAAGAAGAAAAAACAAATATATTGAACAAGCATATACTCAAAATTAACAAATGTAAAAGTTTGTACAAATACTTCCAGATGTAAAGAATGACATGAAATAATATTGGGCACAAAATATATCGCTTTTGGTATTGATTAGGCATTGCAAAACTTTGTTTAAAGTTAAAATGGCATGAGCAAAGAAGAACGTAAACAGACGCAAGTGTATAAAATACATTCTTTATCAGTGTCAAAAAATACGGACTTGCTATCAACAATCAACTTTAAAAACATTTGCATGATCAATATTGGTCATATCAAAGGCCAGCACGTTTCAATAAATTCGATAATGAACCTTGTAAATCTTAACTTCTCACCAGAGAAACAATCTCAAAAATTTTGAAGCCGTTATTTTGAAGTCTCGTACGAAATGTTCGATTCTTAGCTCAATCTCGAAACAAAAAAATTCAATTTTAATCGAATATATTCTAATGCGAGAATTGTAAAAGAGAAAAATAAATAAAAACAAACTCAAAGAAAGCGGCGTTATTTTGAGTATTCTATTGACATTCCTATCATCAGAATGTCAAATGTTGAACGCTCGATTTGATTTGAATTATTTGCCACATAGAAGTGATTTCAAAGTCGTTTTGCGCCCAATTGCAAACGCAAAGTAATAAAGGAAAGACGCAATAAGTGTGACACAATGAAGTTATTTTGTTTTTTTCTTGTCTCATTGTACATGTGCAGTGTGTTTATTTCAGCACAATTAACGGGTAATGCAGTTAATTTTTCTTCATTATATCAATTAAGCAAAACTAAAACTTAAACTAAAACTAATAATGCAACACTGTATAGTCGGCTTTTTTAAGTAGACTTTAAAATTCAAATAAATAAAATAAATAAATAAATTTCATATTACTTCATTTTCTTCCACATAGGGAATGTATGTGATCAACCAGCACCAAATGAAAACGATGGAGTCGCATGTGCAGCAACCTTTCATAACTGGTTCTACAACGCAAAGACTGCAAATTGCGAACAATCCATGTATGGTCGATGCAGAGGCAACGCAAATGTATTTGAAACTAAAGCCGAATGTGAAAAGGCATGCAAAAGGGTGTAAAAATATGAAAATGTGTGATGGAAAAATCTCGCCAAGGCGTAAATAAAATAAAATAACACATTTTTTACTTTCTGCTTTTTATTATCGAAATAAAAAATGTCAAGTTGTTCAATGATTCATAGCAATTTTGTAATGTCAAACACGCTGATTTGACTTTGTTGTACGTCGTGGCGATTTTTTTTTATCTGTTCTTCAAAGAAAGGTCGGTCGTATTTGTGTAATGACCGAACTTTATCAGAGAACAACGTGTCACGCGACATACCATCAAATCTGAAATTTTATGCTTTAAATGAGTTCGACGATCAAAGGAACATATACTTAAGCTGAAAAGGTAAATGACCGAGTTCAATAGCGGCAAGACTTGAACAATTAATGATTACAATCTTAATATTCGAAAAATGTATTGATTTTTCAAAATATCGTGAAAAATATTCCACTTTTATTTGAAACAATTCAGAAATTCCATTGCAAAGTACGATAATACAAAGTACATCAAAGATATTTACATACGTGAGTTCTAATCGAAGCGAAGCAAATGAAAATTAGTCAACAGAAATAGATATTCAATTATTTTTGGAGTACCTAGCATTGCCATGCATTTCGTTTGTGAATTCAATTTCAGTTGGTATCCAGTGGTCAATTGATAAATACGACTTTAAAGCTAAAAATGAAATTGTTGCAATTGTTAAGTGTGTTGATGTTAATTATATCGATTTCGTCGACTCCAATAGGTAAGACTAATTGCAATTTTAAGCGAGCTGAGAATAAATCCATTTGCAATTAAATTTTATTCGAAACCAAATTGAATAGTAGTTTCCATGCAAGTGATGTTTTTTTATACATATCGATATTTCAGAGATCGAAATCGATATATGCAAATTGCCTGTCAGAAATGGCGATGAAAGAATGATGTGCGCTGGAAATTTCGAACGATGGTACTATAGAATGTCAACGGCTACTTGTGAGCGTTTCATCTATGGCGGATGTCTTGGTAATGCAAACAATTTCCTGACAAAACATGAATGTGAAGCTCGTTGTATAAAGAAGACAACATTCATCAATTGAACAATGATATTCCGAGGCAAAAAAATGTGTGTGTAGCAACTCTAAATGATAGAAGAACCATTACAAGCAAAAAAATGTAAAGAATTTCAATTCAACAATGCTTTTATTCAAAAACTATGTAAAATGAGCAAAAATAAATAAAATAAAATGAATTGAAATAGTTTGAAAACTTAAAATAGTGAATTTCACATTCGCATGAATTTAATATTTGAATGAAAATAAACAACATAGCAACAATAGAATTGACCCATTTTGAATTCGACAGTTCGACATTCATTCAAATGCATATGACTTGGATTCACTGAATGATGATCACAAACAATGTCAAATAACTGCAACACTTCAAATGTTGAATTACAAAATCAAAGTAAAACGTTTTCTCCGAATATTCGACAAAATTGAACAAAGCAAGCAGCTTTAGCTGGGGTAAGAAATCTGTTCTTCTTCGGAAATGGAATATATTTGCATTTCGGCCATCGGCAAATTTGATTACTTGTAAGTTTTAGCTCAAGGAACTAATTTAAATTTTAGCGACAATACCAAACTGATGACAAAATCATGAATTGGTTTCGTGTGCTTGGCATGAGTAAATATTTACGTAAAATGTATGTGTCTGGGTAAGCGAGAAGCCAGCATCTTCAAGCAATGCAAGTCGAATCGATTTTATCGACACGGTCGACACACATTCTCGGTTAACTCGATTTGATGGAAATCGACAACGACTGCTTGTTTTTCTTTACACACCATCAATTCGGTTGAAGAAGGAACAATCGAACAGCAGAAAAGCAAAATTTGTTTACATACGCTGCGTAATTTCCGTGGAAGACAACGATAACACAATGGAGAGGAAAAGCGTACATAATATTGCTGGTGTATTGAATTGAGAACAAGGATTGAGACGACAATCATGCAAAATGATTTTGATAAGAAATGTGCCACACAATTCAAGGCATTGCAATGCAAATCGATGGATGAAACGAAATTTCAAACTTAATGAATCGATATTCGAAGCGCTATAATGGAATCTCCTTTAAATAGAAAATTATGGTCGAACAAATTTACAAGCGAATGCAATGCCGACGAATAATAACTAATGACAAGTGTATACTAAATATTTGTTTAAGAAGGGGAACATATTATGACGTGAAAATTCGCACCATATTTATCGTTTACATTTTCTTTTCCGTCTTGTCGATTGAAAGCACGGAAAAAAGTGGCAAATGTATGATTTCTGTTCACTCACATTTCCGACACTCATCGTATTAACGCAATCATTTCGGTATTAAATTGTGTTGTGTCATGCAATGCGTTTCGCATTTCTGTTCAGCTTGTTTGGCATACGAAAGATTTTGGCGGTTGGAAACGGTTATAAAGAGCACTTGCCGAATATTTTGTAAAAGAGTGAAAACTGCTCGAAAATGGTGAATGATGGTGAAGCCAAGGTGCGGGCTAAGAACGGAGTCAAGCAATGAGTTTCCCATTTTATATTCATTTATTCAGACGTTTAAATGCAAATATGACATTTATGGCATATGTAAATAAAAACAGCCATGGAAAGTTCGTTCGCTTTCTTGCTTGACACTCACACAAATACATTCATCTTAAAATTACTTGCAACGCAAATTTATCATGTGAAATACATGTTCAATGCCATGTTTAAAGGTGTGTTTTGCCCATTTATCTATTATCGGAACTAAATTCATAAAAATATACATGTCTTTGCGTAAGTGATGAACTATGTACCACTGCTGTCAATATCCTAGCGTTTTATGGATGCGTTCTACTTTGGTCAACACCTCGTCTCTTTTTTATTGAAGAATATTTTCTCGAAATGTTGTGAAGAATTCGGTGAGTTGATATTTTTTTCACATATTCTTCGAATTTAATGCGTTCTTCGAATTTCTTTATCTAATGGGATTATGTTTAAATGTTCATAATATACGGCTATATGTTTTCGACAGGGAAAAAAATAAATTATCTGATTTAGCATTTATTTATTCCCCTTTTGCAAAATATAACTAATTGAAGTGTATAAAAAGACGCGTTCTCCTACATGCAAATGTTTGAATAAGCCTGAATATGTCACATATATGGCGATGGAGACGATTTATTGCATGGATTCAGGATTTGAACACCAACTTTGACATTAGCGCATGAATTTTGGTTAGCACTTAATTCGAGATACCGTGCATTGCCCCCCGCCCCCTTTTCAAATGGAAGAGAATAAGTCAACAGCTCAAACAAATAATCGCATTGCAAAAGATCTGTCCTAACAATATTTGGATATAAAATTGCGCATTTATATGCTGAATATGATGCAAATCGTTCGCTCTTTTTGTTTATACTTATCCATTTTAATGTGCGTACGGTGGAACTAAAACCGAAAGAACCGTGTCGCATTTTTTTTTGTCATCAGTTGGAATCTTAGGCACACACACAAAGCTGAATGAATTGAGCTTCAAACGTTATGTTGCATTAAATGTATCGTTCTTCGGTATTTCTCTGATGCTTTCGTTTTTACACTCATAATTCGGTATGTATGTGCACGTCGATCTATTCTGTATTTCGATCAAAATTTATAAATTTTTTATGCATTGTAAAATATTTAAAGCAAATATTGACTTTAGAAATCATAATATTATAAAGAATATGAAAAGATTTCGTTGTGTTTATATGTATTCTATCTATTTTTGTGTGTCGACGAAATGGAAATGTGCGCATTTTACAGCAGCACATTTTCTGCTCCCTACTCGATTGTGTGCTACGAATTGCAAGCATTTCAAATTGCTTCTCGTTGGAATGATGATTATGATGATATTCATGAATTCGATTATAATTTTTCGCCATTTTAGTTCAATACCAACGCAAAATCAAACAACATTAACGTCATATTTTAATATTTTAAATCGACTGTGCCATAAAAGATATTTGGTTGAGCGTCGAACGACAGCTACATAATTTGATTTCACTTCTGTATTTAATTCAGAAATTTGCTCTTCATACGTACTGTGCGACGTTCGAATAAACTTGAATGATTGCCATATGCCATTATGGAAAATATATTCAAACGGTATGTAACGTTTTGAGGAATTGTACCACTTTCAAGAATCTGATAGGAAACCCTATAAGGCATAGATTCAAAATGAAAACCTTACAACGGAATGTCTAGTTCGAAGTCGATTTCTATCATTTTCAACTACTATCATGACTACTGTAAGATGAAAATCTGGAATATTAGTCATTAAAATTTTGCCATCAAGCAAAAAGATTGTGTTTGTGAATGCATTTGATTTTATAAAAGATTTTTCTGTGGAAAGACACGAATGAAAGCTACCTAAAGCTTTTAGGTACATTTCAGTTTTGCTCACCAAAATATTTGTGTATGAGTGCAAACCATGCAGTTTTCATGCAAAAGAAAATATTCCAAAGTCGGATTCAAGCCGTTCCTAACATTTCTCATAACATTTGTCGAATGGTTGTTGTTGTGTTCTGAGAAAAACACTGCAAATGAACCATTGGTTCCAATTGGTGTGTATGACGAATAGGTGAAAAAGCAAAATCGAATTTTGGTTCAGTTTCAGTTTCGAATTTATCGTACAATTGATTGCTATAGAATAAAAACAGCGTATGAAAAGGTTGCATTTCAAAGCGAAACACCGTCATACAAAATACAGCAAAAAATGTATGCAAAAACAACCTTTGGTGTGCGACCGTATCATACGCTGTATTTATTCTATAGCAATCAATTAATGAAACCTTAAACTTTGTCCATTGATTCTACAATCTTGCATGCTAAGTTTTCATATTTTGATATGGTTTATCCGTGCCAATGGAAATTGCCATTTCAGCAAACAGAAATTACATCAAGATTGTGATGTGATTCGATCGATTGGTTCTTGAGGTTTTTCAAGTGATTAACCCTGTTTCATGGATGAATTTTGCACAAATTAAATACCGCTTCAAATGAATCCATCAAATGGCAACTATGTTATCGATCGCATGTAAGTGGTAACTTGAAAACTTCAACTAATCTCAAGTTGATTGGATGTAAATTAATTTTCAGTCAGAAGTGAGTCAGAACTTTCTATGTCATTTTCTGATAAAAGTGGAAAAGTTTTCCGATTGATTTGAAATTGGTTGTCGCTTTTGTACACATTTGATGAGTTTTGAAATGTGTTCAATGTGATACTTGTGTAATTTGGCATTTCGTTACTCACCAAACACAAACTGTTAAATGTCATCGCATATTTAAAATGCGTTTGTTTGGTCGTTTTTCAGATTTAGCACCAAATCGATCGAGATTGTGAAGTAATATGGTTGAGCTTTTATGATAGCGTCTCTTTTTTTTATGTAAACGAAAAACGATTTTATTTTTTACATTCTTCCGTTGATTTTTTTTTTTGGTTTTATTGGTTCATCGTCTGCTTAAGATTGATGATGATTATTCTATTCGTTTATTTCACTTTTCTGTCATTTATCATGCAAACGGACAAAGCCACGCCAACGCTTGAATACAAATAAACAACATACATTTTTCGATTTTCCACATCGCATCATTTCATTTCGTCAAGTAATTCTGCCATTAAATTTATTTCATTTGTTTTATTCGGAGTAAAAAAAGTGCCATCAAAATGTTGGAATGCTTTTTCTCGGAAGGGATTTATAGTACTTCGACCTCTTAAATTTGATAAAAAGTCTAGTCAAGCTATTTAAATCCGGTATTTCAAGATCATAAGTCTGATTTGCAATAAAATTCGGAACATTTTCATCAATTGTTATTGGCATCAATATAATAGCAATGCCGTTGGAATTTAAAGCATCTTGATTTATTCATTTGTTGCTTTCAACATATTTCTTTTCGTTTTTACGGTGGAAAATTCCGTTTCTGATAAAATGTACACTCTTTTTAGCGAAATAATATTTTTTTATCCATGAAAATGGTAATTATTATGTGTGGTTCAAGTTGATCCGATCAACCGCCATCGCTTCCAGCAATTAAAATCCATAACTTTTCCACGAACTTACCTGATAGATAGCTACCTGCAAATAGTTGATAAAATATATTTTCACCCAACCCGATCGCAAGCATTCTTTTTCATCGCAAATAAGGGCCATAACTGGCCCCAATAAAAGACGACGAAGAAGAAAAAAACTAACTTTTCTTACCGAAACTATTTGAGAAATGTAATAGAAGAAACTTGTTGAATGAAATTATAATGAAAAGTTTGCAATCGGCATATTCTCAAAGTGTTGCAGCTGCTTTTAAAACTAGAAAGAAACTATAAACAAAAGCAACAATAAAATTACATTTGCAAAAACTCCAATGAGTTTTGGTTTTCTTCGTTCTGTAGTTTGACGGGAATTTGATTTTCCATTCAATGCAATGCAAAATTCATTGATTCGACTCAGTTTTGTTCAATCAGGCAGAAAGCAATTTAAATTAATTGACTTATATATATAGTAAACTTCATTGAAAATTAGCATTCTCGATTCGATTAAATTTCATACCTCTACATAACAATAGCAACATAGTCACCGTATAGCCACTAAACGTTGCCAAGGATATTTGATATAGCTTGTCGCAAATTAAGTCTTAAAACGATGGCCAATTACTATAAACGATTGAATGAAAAGTCTCAATTAAATAGAAATCATTTCACTCAAATGCTCATTCGAAAAGTTTATGAGATGAATTGTATGTTTTATCGTTTGAATAAATTGAGTTATACCAAACCATGGTGATTGGGTAAATAAATCTTTCGTTCGAAATGCTTTCAGAGTATCGAAAAATTCTAATCTCAAAAAATCTTTCCTAATTCAATCGTGGAAAAAATTGAATTATGGTCGAGACATACTTTTAGTCTTATCTGCTTGCTTTACGTTTTCGTGTGAGTTTATTTGATTGTATTTATGTGTGTGTTCGGTTCGAACCGAAAACGTCATAAGAAAATCAATCACAACGTTTACCATTTACTCGATTTTAGTTCTATATGTATATGGAAATGAACTCAAGAATTTGCACTTATTTTCCATGTTGAATGAAGGTTTATGTCCAATGGAACGTTGACAACCTAAAAAAGCCTTCAAGCCAAAACTTCATATTGCTTCCCGCTCTGCAACGCTCGTGCGGCTTTCGTGCTGAATTGGCTTTTTTCAATGCATTTGATTTGATTAGACAGATTCCGCGCCGAGCACAATAAAAATTCCTCCTTCACATCTACAACATAAATACTTGCGGCCAATGAATATAGCATATACCTTTAATATAATTCTTTTGAGTCAACTTATGTATGTGTGTGCATCGTCCTCGTCGTATTTTGCAAGATGTTTTAAGTGAACATTTGCTGTTGGAAAAGTTTTGTTCAAGGTGTTCGGTGAAGTGTGCCAAGAAAAATAGAAGAAAAAACCCGAAGGGAAAGAGCGGGAGCATTTCCACATTTTCCAAATTTTCCGACAGAGTTTTTATACCATACATAATATACGCTGAGTGCCGACATATTTATGTGAATCATAAAATTTTACGGTAATTGTTGTATGCAATGCAATGCGCTGCCGTCATCAATTCGCATCGATTTGGCTCTGTATGGTCGATTGCATTTTGTTGTAAAAAATCAGTACGGGGTCAAGCTAAACCATTGATACAAGCAAACAAGTCGCAAAACTTTACTCATTCTTCCTGGAATAAAAAAAAAAACGAACCGTTGCGAAAATAAAACCCATAATATATATATATTTTTTAAACTTATTGTAATGGTTCTTTATTCATCACCTAAATTTTTGTTTTTATATTGATTTATCCAATCCGGTTTTAGTGTTTCTTTTGCCATTTTCCATTTCTTATGTAATATTATCTTAATGTCATTTTCCCGCTGATAAAACAAATATGTTCTTCTTTCTGCGATACAAATGATTTTTGTGTTAGTACGAATGCTCTATTGTATTTTATGTAACAAAGAAAATGTGTGTTTCGACTTTTTCATTGAATTGCGTGTCATTTGCAATCTTCCCATTTTGAAAATGTGAGATAGATAGATGATGTAAATATTATTGAAATACTACAGCATAATTCAAATGGTTCATGGTTGTGTGTTTTTTTTGTTTGTATCCACAGTGTGTCTGTGTGTGTGTGCATGGTGAATCACAATGCATCCATATCATATGTAAAATGTTAAGAATAAAATAGTAAATATACATTTATAGAAAGCTCGTTGTTGCAAATACATGAAATGTAAATTAGAACAATAATCGATAACTGTAAAGCTGCTCGTGTATTTATAAGAAGAGAGCTGCATACGGACTGAGTCCGGAAGATTTGCTTTTTTTTCGCATTCAGTTTATCGTTATTGTTGGTTGTTGTTTTTTACGCACATTTACTAAACAAAAACAGTAAGGGTTTATAAATCTATGAGTAAACTGTACACAATCTCAAATTTCTTAACCATTTTTAATGCTGAATTGGCGATGCCTTTTTACGTAAGAGTTATGTTCGAACTATTTCGTGACTGCGTAGCAATTCATGCACATTATTTTCCTTCACTTAACTTCAATAAATCTTTCTTTCTTTTCGATTTAACTCAATACGAGTTCAACAGATACCGTGATAATTTATAAGCAAATTTTCTTACATTCGACCACTACACAAATGTGTTTTTTTTTTCTTCTTATAAATGATGCTAAAAACTACGAAAGACAAAAAACCAATCTACACATCACCAATCTTTCAAATCATGGTTATATTTTCTGGTTGTTGTTGTTTTCTACATAGCATATTTCGTGTTCATTTCATTTTCTGTTAAATGTTATATGTTTGCTTATGTTATTTTGTTTTATTGTAAAGCAATTCAACTAGAGTACAGCCATTTTTGGGATACGAAAAGTTATCGGTATGTGTGTATTAGTTAGTTAGTTGTTGGATGTGTTTCGAAATGGTTTTTCTATATATTTTTCTTTTCTTTGATTTATAATATAAAACCGATTTCATAACTGTAAATAGTACATGCGTTTGGTTTGGATTAATAATGATATTAAATTACATAGAGAAATACATTGATTTTTGTTTTCTGTTGAAGTTTTATCGACACATCTTCAAACCGAAAATAATAATAATACAAGATTTAAACATTCTTTTTAAATATTTGGGAAACCATTATTTTTTTTATTATCATTTCTACACTCACATCGAACATAATATGAAAACATAAATTTTTCTTTTGTGATATTTTCCATCGTCGGGATATATTTTTGTGTTTTGTTTCACCTGTTTACTTACATTCAAAGGATTAGCGCGATAGTCGAAAAGCATGAATCCGAATATGATGATTTCTCATCTCGTTTTTTTTAATGCTGATTAAAACATTTATTATCTTATTAATCTTAATGCTATGCAGTACAAATAAAAACAAACCCATACTCGCTTATGCGCGATAATCAAAAATGCAAGAAACAGAAAAATGTTTGAATAAAGGTTTTGATATTGTTACATCATTTTCTATATGATTCCCATTTCACATTTGATTCGATCGAAATGTTTGATTTTCATTTATTTTCCGTTCAACGCTCAAAGAATTGATTGCAAGGCACGTTTTGAAATCAAAACCAAAAATAAAAACTGAATTATCTATTTACAAATCGCATCTGATTAAATGTCTCATTTGATTTGAGTCGTTTATCAAAGTGTTTCTTTTTTTCGTTACATTTTATTTGTTTCTTCAAGAGAATGAGAAAATGGCAAAACGTAAACCGTGTCATTCATGTACAAAATGGGAAAAAATAACAAGTATCGAAATGTGTTGAAGAAAATCGAAAAGGAAAAGATTTTTTTTTTTTGAAAAACTGATGCGTTCACAGAATGTAAATAAAAAAAATAATATTCAAATGAGAAAAGCGAAACAAACAACGAAAATTCAATGAATATTCTATTTTCGACTAATATTCCATTCAGCCGCTTTATTTGCATTTTCATATCCGAGATGCTGCAGAATATTTGAGGGTGCAGTGTATAACACAAAAATCACCACCGACCAACAACAAAAGTGACACGCACACAGACACCATCACTGATTGCATAAATACATGTACATAAATTGTTAAATTCGTTATTAGCATTATATCTTCGCTTTGGTTTTGCAAATGCTGTGCCACGCAGCCAAAGCACTCGAGCGTATGTGTTGCATTGAGAGCCACAATTTTGTATGCAACGCATGTGAATATGTAATCGAAAAAAGCATTTTATATACAATTCGGGCAAAATCTTTTCGATAAATTTCTCTCGACAACGGAATGAAACGTACGCCGCGGCTATTGTTTAGCAGAAAATTTCCTTCCGTAAAAATGTGCTAAGTAAATGAAAAAAAGGCGAAAAACAGACATACAGTTAGTAACAGAAACAACAACAAAAACAAAATTTCTCCCAACTCAAATGGAAACGATGCGAACGAACGGGAACTGAAATGAATATTCGAAATGTGCGCGTTCTTCAGTTGCATGTGTTTTCTCTCTCTTCTGTTTGCGCATTTGAATTTCGTTTTTCTTATGCTGTTTCAATTTTTTATATATTTGCTGTTGTAATTCCCATATTTTTGCTTCTTAAGGATTCTCTTTCTCGCGCGCTTCGCCTTTTGATTTGGTTTCGTCGATTTTGGGAAGAACAGAGGCTTTGACGCACGACAAATAAATTTATGTAATAATCGCCTCACTTGGTAGAATAAACGCTTAATCGAAACTGTTCTCGTTGAGTTTTACAACAACAAAAAATAAATGTTGAATTATTATGCGCTTAAAATTTATGGTTAAGAATAAAGTATCTATTCTGTGGAAGCCTCTTAAATTCAGTTTCATTTTTTTTTTGTTTTGCTCTGCCAACTGTCAACCATAAAACATATTATTTCCAGTGTGAACACAAATCAAATGAATTTTCTGCTACCGATTTCGGCGATAAGTAGCCTACATGTGATCACGACTTGTTGCCAACGAGATTTATCAATACGGTTCATGTTGCATGAATAACAAAAATATAAATCAATGAATTCTCAATGATTTCACATGAGTTATATAATCTAAAAAGTTTAAAATTCATTTTATTCAGAGGAAAAAAACACACATTCTTTATGACACTAAACATAACATTTGTTTTTCTTCGCATATGCCCGATGTGCGCGCTTCATTTACATTTACATTTCATACATTGCTAAATTCATCTTTTGTTAAATATTTCTTTTTTTTTATTAAATTCTTGCTAAACAATAACGGTATGTTTTCAAGGAAATGATTTTACGGCAAGGAATACAATCGAGTTACAGCTACTACAGTTTGCATTTAAACAGAGTAGAGAAGAAGTGAAATTTTCTAAAAAAATGGGAGGAAACACGTGAAAACATTGAAAACACTTTATTTCTACGGTGATCGGTCATATTTGACCCGGTCACAATTTTCCCCATACAAATCTAATGGAGAAGTTATCATTTTACTAAGCGATATATTAAGAAAAAAACACGCTTTTATCTGACTATCTGACATTTCAATGCATCCTCCTCTTACTTCCCTTCTCTCTCTCTTTCATCGAATTATATTGTCTTTTATGGGTTTGATTTGTTAGTTTTAATCTACTAAAATATGATTTTCTTTGATTTGAAATGGTATTCGGACTGTTTTTTATATTTATTTTTTATTTTTTTTATATTTTTTCATTTTGTTTAATCTAGGTTTTGAGAATGTGTTGTTTTCTTTTTATTTCATTTATAATTATTCCACGAATTTCTACCTTCACGCGAATGATCAAATATAAAGCTAAAAAATCTTTAACAAATCTCTCTAAATGTATCAATGTTTATTTTAAAGTTTTCTTTTTATTTTCATGTTTTGCAAAAATCACTTTATTCATTTTATGTTCGTTTTGCTCACGTTTTACTCAACAACAAAATTATCAAAATGTGTGTGTATGATGAAATGACAAAGCCAGCATATATCTGTATTAACATTTAGGTGATAACACTTAGGAGCCATTTTATTTAAATAATTCCACTCGATCGATTAAGCTTTGCCCAAATCGAAATTACACATGCTATTTTGTTGTTTTTAAATTCACATTGACTTAGCTATAAATTCTACTTTTTTTTTTATCTTCAATTCAAGTGTGAATTATACATTCCATTACGATCAAAAATTATTATTGAAAAAGGGTTTTTTTCTTTTCTTGTTTTATATAGTATACGAAATACGCGTAAAAATTCAAATTGAATGTGACCATACCAAAACTATGTATTATTTTTATCATGATTGATATATCTCTTATATATACCTACTGAATATAGTCTCAAACGAAATTTGTATTTGAATTTCAAACGCATTTGCATTTGACCGAAGCGATTTATTGATTTATGCGGACGATTTTTCTTACCGATGTGTTGAAGATGATGTAAAAAATAAAAGAAAATTTTTGTAGCTTAAGTTATTGATGTTCGAGCAAAACGTTTTATCAGTATCATCTATTCGGACTCATAATCCACCCAATCGACCTTTGCCCATTCTGGAAGTGGAGTTTCGTATTCCCAGCCAGGACCCTGTGTGTTTGTGGATTGGAAGAAAAAAGATACAAATATAAAATTAAATATGTTGAGTTTGGATCAAAACAATGTTGTAAGATATTTAATTATTTTTAGATTAAAACACGATTATTTTGGGTCTACAAATAAGCCATGTGGAAAAGTTGCTGTAATTGTTTCAAGTAAAATTGTGTGCAATTATTTTGTACTTTTCATCTAAAGAATAGAAGGAATTCTCGTTCAATTTTCTGAAGCGTATGCAATACATAAGTCCTAAAAATGCGTTCTGCATTGCTAGCAGCTGCGCTATGCTGGCCATCGTCCGTTTATTCATGAGTCTGAGTTATGTATATTGAATTACACGAACAGTTTTGGTACTATTAAAACTAAATCGTAACCGACCACTGCATTTTTGCAAATGATTTGGAATCACGCATCAACATGAGATTGCAGATGTACACAAGTATCGAATCAAGTGGAAAAACAAATCACATTCTCTGATTAATTGACAATTATATCGCAATGAAAATGTCAATACACCAAGGATTTTATTCGCTTTGAATTCTTTAATTAAAAATTAAATTGCTTTTTCCACTTTCTGTCAATATTTTTTTTCATCGCTTTTCCATTTCGTTTTTTGTGAATTTTTAATCAGAACTCGACTTCCTCATTTCGTACGAAATATAGGGTATATAATATACAAGATATTTATTTTATTATTATTAATAATGCGCAGTGCACAGCATGTGTGCACGAACGAGAGGTTAGCTTTATGCAGTAAAATTAACTTCTGGGTCATGTTTTTTTCAATTTCAATGAAAAACACATTTTCGTCCGAAAAGCATAAGTTGAAAGATGAAGATTATCTTTTGATAAAAAAAAAATTCTGTTGTGTTTGCGTGTGTTGAAAAGTCATTTTGTTTGCAAAATACCGGATAAAAATATATAGGTATATGTATAAGAAAACCTCGAGTTCTATTTGAATATATTATTAAATGAAAAGAATAACAATTGACATAAAACTTTTAACTTGCTTTCATTCGAGGGGAGTTCATTCAAAGTTGTTTGCAAATGGAAATACAAACAGGGATAATTGTTCGCAGAACGTTCATTTTTCTAACTAAATAAATAAATGCAAAATAATATAGGCTTTTCATCAATAAAAGCGTATCGTTCACCTTGCCACAAATGGTGTGCTGTTTATTTTCAATTTTTTTCTCTCTCAATTATTTGACGATGTGAGGTGAAGGGAGAAAGAAAAAAAAATGTCGTTTTTCCTGCGTTGAACGGCGACACAGTTTGCAAATAATAGAAGCAGACAAAAGAAGGAAGCAATTTAAAATGGTAAATTAGTATGGTTTGTTAGCTCACTTGCCCTGTCTCTCTCTTTGTGTGTGTGTCATTCAGAAATAAAAATAGAATGGCATGCAGTTTGCTAAAAGATATATTCCCTTTGTTCGGCTATTAAATGGCACCTTCAAATTCATATTTCAAACACAGTCACGCACACAAACATATGCGTTTGAATGAAGAAAAGAAAAGAGAAAAAGCTCGAAGTGTGCATGTTTTCATCAACCTTTGTGTGTTGTATATGGTGGTGGTTGCCCCGCGGACCGAAAGTGAAAAATATTTTAAGTAAATAAAGCAATCACAGTTAGAGAGAGAGAGAGAAGAGGCCTCTTGATGCACAGTGGAAACATTTATGATTTAATTGCTTTGCTTTTCAGTTTTATTTTTAAAGCGAAGAAATGAACTCCTCGAATCAAGAACTTTTGCTGACGAGAACGAACAATGCATGAGCAGAAAATAAAAAGAAGTTGAGCTGAGAGAAGATGAAAAGTGCATAAAAAACATTCAAGTCTTTTGTGTTGCGGTTTTTTTTTCTCTCTTTATTGTTTGATATTTAGTGCTGCACACTAAACACTCACGTAAGTGCATAAATGATAGAGACACACAAAAAATGTGTGCGCTGACACAATTCCAGTGGGAATGAATGGCAATAAATCAAAGTGAAACTGGTGACAACACACCGAGCAAAAGAACGAATAGGAGATTTTTAAGTACGCTAAATCCATGGCACAGATAATCTTTGCATCTAATGGATACACCGGAACACACACAGCAAACAGCTCAGTGATACTTATTTTAATGGAATTTCTTTGTGTATGTGAGCAATGTGCTTATGTGTGTGCGCCCCGACATAGTACTAATTTCAAAATGAAATTAATTCATTTAAATTCGCTGAAACTTTTCAATGGATTTCATTTGAATATTACGACAACAACAACGAAACAAAACATAATTCGCTTGTGTGCATAGACAACTTTCATTCTCAGACAAGTCTTCAGATCGCTTTTTGGATTTTCTTCTTCTAAATTAATATTCACAATGTGTTTGTTTATGTTGAACGTAATTTAATCAATTCGGTGTGCGCTTTGAAAAACGGCGAACATGAACAAATTGAAAACAAATAAATAAAAAAATATGTAAAACAACCAATATCCATACCTGATATTTCCATGCATGCAAATACATGACCAAGTCTTGTGGTTTTGGGTCTCGGTAACGTACTTTGCACTCGTAACAGTGCTTATCAACTGTCATTTTATCGGGATTGAATGTGAAATCTGGGTTGTCGTGGCCGGTTTGTGTTGCCACAGTTACCTAGGATTCGATATCGATGAAAGAACACAATAATTGAATTAAGATAATGATTACAACAAGCCCGTCAACCGCGTGACCGAGGCTTCGAAAAATTTGCATTTAATTACCTTTGCTTGGTCGGCGGCACTACATGCCGACATTGATGTTGACGTCATAACCGCTGCATGGATGCTGTTATCAACCGGACTTTCGCTGCCCAATGAAACCGGTCGCGGACTCTCTGAGCATGGTGATGCCTCACGGGAAACACTCTCCGAATCATCATCGCTCAACACTGTGCCTGAAATGGATTGAGGAAAAATGGCTTTTTTTAATTCTCAGATAACAATTCAGATTAGTAGTAATAAATCACGTGTATGAAAAAAGGGATTACATTGACCTTTTTCAATTTTTTGTTTGTTTTTGGAAATCTGTTGAAATCCTTTACCTTTTCCAGTCAAACTGCCAAGTCCATCGTCCGATTCGGCTTTCAGTGTTTTGAATAGAGATAGCTCCGAATCACCGTCAATTCCCAACCAATTTTCAGCATTATGAATATTTATAAGATCGCGAACAAGTTCTTCATCGGTTTTACCACCAATATCGCCTCCACGCCCTTTCAACGGTCCAAATACTTCATGATTGTAAAGTGGATCGTTTACAACAGGATATCCTATATATACAAACAATTTTTGGTACAAGCATTTTCATCGGTTTATGAACAGTTTTTGATGGGTGTACGACAATGATACAAGCAATTCCAAGGAAACCGAAATAGAAACAAAGACAGGAGAAGAGAAAAAAAACACATTATTATTCACGAAATAAATTCCCCGCATTCAAAGCATCATTCAAAAAACACCTTTACTAACAAAACATTTGAATAAATTAACAAATCTTCTGTTGTAAATAGAAAAAGTTTCTCAATTCTTTTCAGTTCGCGATTTCCGTTTGTACCATTTGTGACCATGGTCTTGATGCGATTAAAATAAATTCGTCAGTCAAGAAACGATAAATTTGTAATTCAACGATAACAACAACGAAGACCTCCATAATTCTCGTGAAAATGTATGAATATTTCATTAAGAATCGTCACCACATTCCCTATTACAATTTTGGAACAACACTTGATCCGATCGAATGCCAAAGTAAAATACAAAATGAACAGGTACTGAATCTATTCAGAACAATTTTTCGTTCCTTTTTTTATAGCAATGTGAAGTGGGTTCTCTTTTTTTATTCGATTAGGAGATCTTTTGTCAATTTTTTTTTTTTGTTTAAAACGATTTGAATTCAGTTTGGTTCCAATATCTATAAATACGAACACCAAGCGGAAACTGAGTGCCTTTGCTGCTTAAAATGTAAAATTATTTTTTCGGAAAATTGAAAAGTTTTCCCTTCATCAATGCTGAATGGTAAACTTGATACTTTAAAGTGAGTTTTATTTTCACTTTTAATGCCTTTCAAATGGTATTTATTTATCTCAAGCAAAATGCGAATTGAAATTGAAGTTGGAAAAAGTCGCGACCAAAGAAATTATTTGAAGAGACCAAGAAACATGAAAATACTTTTGCCTAAATACATAAGATTTTCAAATATTGGTCTCAACTTTTCAACACAAGAGATGACAGTTTTAAAAATATAACATCGATGAAAATCTCGTTTAATTTTGATGCTTTGACATGTTTTGATGTTTAAAACGAAAATCGTATAAGTTTTATTTGTCTTTAAACTTACCTAGAAATTGTAAATGAACACGAATTTGATGCATGCGCCCAGTTCTTGGTTTACACAATACCACGCTCGTTTTGCCATTGTAGCCCAGTTTTTGGAAAATTGTCATACAATCTTTTCCCTTTGGCGATACTTTACACACACCAATTTTATAACTAACTACTTCAATTGGTTCCTTACATTCGATAATGCCACTACAAAATAAACAAAGAGAAAGAAAATCGATAAAAAAAAACATTGAATAAGAAATTGTTAAAGTGGAAAACAATTTATGATGTTTCGTACTCCATCTCGCTTTCTCGAATAAAGCGAAAATGTGACAAAAACAGGAAAGTGCCTTTTATTTTGATGAAACCAACAAAAATCGATTGGATTTGTCATGGAAAGAAAAGTCTGGACAATTGAAATGCATAAGAGAAAATTGGAAGTGAACAGAGTGAAAAATGAAGACTACGAGCCATACTTAATGGAAGAATGAACGAAAGGTGAATTCAAAGGACCAATGTATCAACAATGGAATCGATCAATTGGATAGGAACACTCAGCATTTTCGATTCAATAAATGATAAAGATTATTATTAAAAAAAGACCGAATAATTTCGTATGTGACAACAGTAGCTATACGATGGTATTTTGGAAATACTCATGTCTGGAAGCGAAAGAGATAAACCGAGACCATTCAATTGCAATTGTCGATTTTTGTTTTATCTTACTTCGATATCGTCTGTTTTCTCTTTGCCATCAACTCATGTTATACGATTATTGTTTTTTGTTGTTGGCGAAACGGTTTTCGTCCATTTGTTGTTTCTGCTCAATCAATCGATACGACCGTCAAGTAATCGGCCAAATATTGAGAATACAAGAACAAAATGCACTTCTGTTTAAGATGAATTGTTATTGATGCGATAACACACACACACTCACAGACACATCAAAAAAGTTTCCATTGTATTAGTTGCTTGAGTCGTTACTTCTTTTGTTTCTTTCTTTGCTAACGTGCTGGCATTGTGTGTGTGTGTGTGTGTGTGTGTGTGTGTGTGTGTGTGTGTGTGT